TGTGTATTATGATTTATTAAGAAGCTTAACATACATGCATATTATTTTATTTTCTCTTGCAATACTCTAGTTCAAGGGTATGAGTGAGTATGAGTACTTACTAGCTTTGTTTAGCTTAATGTTATTTTAAAGTATCTTAATTGGTATAAATTTTTAGACGGTGTTTCTATGACAGTTGTACAAATATAAAATGATATAAATAGCTAGTGATATAGTAAGATTTCATTAAATAATACTTCAAATGTGTATTATGATTTATTAAGAAGCTTAAAATACATGCATATTGTTTTATTTTTTCTTGCAATACTCTAATTCAAGGGTATGAGTGAGTATGTGTATTCACTAACTTTGTTTAGCTTACTGTTATTTTAAAGTCTCTTAATTGGTATAAAATTTTAGACGCTACTTCTATGACAGTTGTACAACTATAAAATGATATAGATATGCCATTGATATAGTAAAATTCATTAAATAATATTTGAAATGTGTATTATGATTTATTAAGAAGCTTAACAGGCTAAATAGACATGCATATTGCTTTAGTTTTTCTTGTAATACTCTAGTTCAAGGGTACGAGTGAGTATGAGTATTCATTAGTTTTGTTTAGCTTATTATTACTTTTAAACTAATATTTCATGTTTAATTATGTTATTAAAAGATGAGCGATAGAAAAAAAAATGCTTATAGAAAATGTGGACAACCAATAACTAGGTAAATTTAATTATAATACTTTAATTTAATTTGACTAGTGACTCTTTGATTTATTAATATTTAGTTATAAAAAATAAAAAAAAGTAAATCTTATTGTCCGGCGGCCCGATTTGGGTCGCGACAGGTAAATGAATTTAAAGTGGAAATTGATTTCTTCCAAAATTAAGTCCAAGGGGCTCAGGGGTGGCTCAAGCGTTAGATAGTTTTAGTAGTTTATTATGAGGTTGTGAGGGGTTATTAGATGGTGGATTAAATTTAGGGGGAATGAATTGAGATGATTAAGAATAGATTTAGAGTTGAAGATGAGATGAGGTGTGTGCGGGGATCTAGAGGCTAAGATATTGAATTAGGTTTTGATCAGTAAGTAAATTGGAGAGGCCGATTGTCATGACCCGACCCAAGGCTTGAAATTTATCAAGACGGATACAGACGGTCTGGCTGTAAGAACTAAGTTTTCTATATTTATTCTTTATAAATAACATATTAGAAATGAAAGAGTTACTAAAGAAAATTAATTTAAGACGAATAGTTTGAATTTTACCTCATAATAGGTTGCCAATGTCTTATCCTTCTACCGCTCTT